TTTTCTGATTCTCTGATTTGTCCTCAGGGTCAAAGAGGAAAGCCTATCCTTATGGTTGGTTTTAATAGGAACTTACTTGCCACAAATTAGAATTACCTTGGTAGGGAACCTCCAGTGAAGAATTGTTCTGACTGTCTTAACTGACTCGCCCAAATTGTGGGTGGCACCTTCTGGTCGAAGATACAAAGGGATGGCAGAAGAAAGGTTAGTCACTGGCCTTCTGAACCTTGCTTGGCCTTCCCTCTGGCCCCTCAGTTGGTTTACCCTGATATTAATGATGATAATTCCTTTGTCGCTATAAGAGCCAGTGTTTCCAGGCTTCCATTGTAAAGTAAGGACCAAGGGACTCCCCAAGAACCTTGCAGGTCTTTGACACCATACTGGGACTGCTGAGGCACCAAGCCTCAAAGAACAAGCAAGGATCAGGTTCTCAGTTTTTCAGGGTGCGATTCTGCTGTTGCTGCTATTTTAGAATAAGCTGAGGTTAAACAGTTTTTAATAAATATATGCATTCATGCTTTGGTTCTGTTTCTCTAGAAAACCCCAACTAACACACATATTATTCAAATACTCTCAATAATAAACATTTTATAACAACCATAAATAATACAACTAAAGGATCTGATTGCTATCGGGAAGAAATTAGGTTCTAGAGATGTCACAAGGAATAAAAGGAAAGCATCACAGGTGGAGGGAATGGCCTCACAAATTCTCTCTCACACCAATTCAAAAGCCTGTAGCAGCTCCCTATCTCAGCCAATCACTTTTCATTGAAAGGAGCTTGGCTAATCCAGCTGGAAGAAACGGAAGCTGACACTTTTGTTTTCTTCTTGTTTGTACATTTTTAAATTCAAGACTCCCATTCTGTGCATAGGTGATATTATCATAGCCATTTTACAATGGGAGAAGTGAAACTCAAAAGGGAAGAAATGAAGTGCCACTTAAAAAATAGAGAAAAGACCAGAGAGAGGTGACAAAAAAAAAAAAAGGAAAAGTAACCAACACAGCTGAGGCCACAGACAGGAAAATAAACAGAATGAATGGGTGTTGACTGGGAATGTTATAGATTTAGTCACAAGGAATTGGGAAAAGTGCTCAGAAATTAAAAATGACTTGCTGCATTGCAAAGAAAAAAGCAAAGTCTAGCTCCCTTCCATCCCTCTGCCTCTTGGCTACTAGGGCTGAAGAGATGGCCCAGGATTAGGATAGCCATTAGGAAATCTATCCCATCAGGGAAACAATGTTTCCTTGTACTTTTAACTTAGAAGACAAATGACATGAGTTGGGGGGGGAGCCAACTATCCTCTGCTTGGCTCCAACAGGACTTGCAGCAACCTGAACAACAGGGAGATAACAGTCACATTTAATCTTCTAAAAAAAAAAAAAGTGAACTAGCTGCCATGGCCCAGGACTCTCCTCATGGCTCTATCTACCAGTGATGGCTCCGGGGTAGTTCTGTCTCTTCCGACTGCCCCCAGAGGTGGAGGCACACAGTGTCAAGTGACTACAGGGTATTGATTTGTCCCTTACTTCGCACTCACAATTCTCTATCCCCCCGAATATGTCTATGTGAGACACACACTTTATCTGAACACATTCACACAGCATGCATTAGTGCTTTGCATTATCTTTTAACATTTGTAAATGGTTCTTTCTCGTTGTCCCATGGCTTCTCTGTCCCATCTCCTGCTTTGTGATGGCATTGTGCTGGCCAGAGCATATTTAACCCATTGCTTTATGCTGTGCACAGTATTCCATTACGAACACTCATATTGTGCCCAATTCTATAGATCTGTTTCAGTGTTCATCAAACAATAAGGTGAAAAATTCTATGGGCTACCTCTTAGGAGTGAGCATTACTGGAACAGAGGGGGCGGTGTGCATAATTTAGCTGAGCAATGCCACCTGACCTCTACAAAGAGGACACAAGCAGGAGATGGGAGTTCTGAAAGCCAAAGTGCAAATCATTGTGCTTTAATAGCAACTATCCGAATTTGTGCATTCTCTGATATCTCTTAGCTCACTTCCTTCATCTATAAAAACGTAAGTAATGACAGTGCCTATCTCATGGAGTTATTGTGGGAATTAAAGGGACCCTGGAGTGCTTAGCACATTATTGGGTGTTTAGTGACTAATTAAGTGGAGCCATAGGTTATCTTGTTTTGCCACCCACTCAGATGTTTGACCTTTCAGGAGACTGATTCTTTAGAATAGGTCAGTAGAGTTCACAGACCTCTGCCTCATTGCACAGAAGGGGACAATAAAAGCAGAGGGATCTAAGTCTGTACCCTAGGATTTACTGAAGACAAAGTGCAGCATTTCAGGTTCGTGAGGCTGCTGCCCCTGCTAGAGAAGGTCCATCGCAGCTAGCATGCCTTTCAGCATGACAACCAGAAAGCAGAATCTGGTCTCTGCTCACATCAGGCATTGTATCATTGTACAGGCATTCCATACTCCCATCCACCACATGAGCTTTCAGGAGCTTTTTCAGGTGCTGGGAATCTTTTGTATCATACTTCCCAGAACACACACTGTGTACCAGTCTGACCTACAGTAAGTACCACAGGTCGGAACTCCCTCCTGTTCTTCCATCTTTCTCGGGCACCACTCACTCCCTCCACAAAATTCTTATACCCTTATCTCCATCTCAAAGTCTGTTTCCAGGGAGGCCCACTAGCACAGTAGAGAAAACACAAAGCATATGGTGGTACTTGCTATCATGTGATCATCTGACTTTAAGTCATGCACTGCTGAGCTCTGTAATAACATCAGGACCATGGATGCATGGGTCCTGAATTGTACCTTGAGGCAAGGCTACTTCTACACAGAAATAACAGTGATCTTTATAAGAATTGATGAGCACTGGTCCATGCTATCTATTTTGTGATGTGATCCAATGTGAATCAACAATTAAACATTTATTCTATACTAGTCCGGTCTGCTTGATGAGTTTTCTTTAATGTTTTCTCATATTTTATAATTTTTAAATATATGTGTAGCTGTGAATATATTCATCAGTTACTTAGCACTCCAAAGATAAATCAAGACAGGTGCATTTTTTCATAAATACTTTGCTTTAGCTAATAGAATCAGCAGGTAACACTTGGATAAATAATACCCACAATGTGTTTCAACTCTATTATTCTTCCAACTAACCAATGAAATTTCAGAATATGTAATATCCATATACTAATGTAATAAACCAAGAATTACAGAATTTTAAAAAATTTAAAAGAAATAGCCCAGTATAATTTTTTGAGATGAAAAACTGAAGGTCAGAGGTTGTATAGCTATGTAAAGGTAACTTGTTAAAACCTACAGCTTCTCCTTTAAAGATTAAAACTGCAATATATATTGCAGTATATACATAATATGTCATCATACTGTAGGTTTATGAATTCCTACACACACACACAGAGAGAGAGAGAGAGAGAGAGAGAGAGAGAATGGAAAAGAGAGAGAAATGTTAAATCAAAGTTAAAAAATAATTCCCAGAGGGAATTTCAACACGCAAAGACATCTGGCAATATCTGCAAATGTTTGCTACTGTCACAGTGAGGGCCAAGGGGATGGCACTGGCCCCTAGTGGACAGAGTACAGAGCCTCTTCCGAGCATCCTACAGTACAGGAGACAGGCCCGGAAGAAACAGATCCGTGGTCCGGAATGACAGTAGTGCTCAGGCTGAGGGCCCTGCTTGTTTTATTGAGAGCAAAGGCAAATGAAATATCCTACTCTTGATTTCACGGTGATTCTCTTCTTTATTGAGTTAAATAATATCTCTCATTTCTTGGGAGAAGAAACAGACACTGGGTTAAAGAGAGGGTCAGAACAGATGTGCCCCTTACCCAAGAAGACAGTGGTTTTCAGTTTCATTCAAATACCTTATTAGAGAAAAATGTAGGAGGCACCTTGGAGATCACCAGAGTCCTATAACTCTAGCGGAAAGTTACCATCCAATCTAGAAGTCTTTCCCGCAGACACACATATTCCTTCCTTTGATTGGGAAGATTCTTTCAAACTTGAAAGAACCTATTTTTAAGTGCCCACTGAATGATACACTACCCATTTTTTTAACAGAATAAGTCTCCATGAAATGTCCTGATCATGCAAGGTAAAGGCTAGTATTTCTCAGGGCACTTATTTCCTAGAAATACCTTCTGATTTGATGTGGCTATCACCATGGCATATTAGTTGTTTTTAACTGTATCTTCTGAATAATTAAAATTTAAATTGGTCATTTAAAAGTCAAAGACATCGTTTTAAGTACCACAGGAACATATATATTCATGAGTGCATTTAACTTTGTCGAAGGAAAGGTTTAAAAAAAAAAAAATGAATCTTTATTTGACGGTCAACGTGCGCCCTCTACCGAAACGGAGAAACAAAACCTCAGATCTGTTTTAATTCATAGGACTCAACCCGCAGAACACCACAAGCATCTTTCTAGTTCATCTGAAAAAAACAATAAAACTGTGAACCTTACATATTTTTTGACTTGAAAAATAAGTGAGAATGAACACATTAAAGAGACACGTTATGAAAGATCTCCCAGATCTTTTCGCCCTAAGCGGCAGTGGCAACAGGAAAATTACAGCGACCACCGCTACTCAACATCAGAACCTAGCGGTATCTATATCCAGTCTAGTTCCTTTGCTTCTGTATCAGAGAAGGAGACAGTTACACTTTTACACTGTACCAGCGATCCTAGAAGTTCTAAGCTCTCGAACACGATGGTGAATCGACAACAGACAAAAAACACTGGGGTGGTTAAATCAAGTACCCGGGGGATTGCGTGGAAGAGCAAAGTTCTTCCCATTCCAGCTGTGCATTCCCGATCCCGAACGCCAGGATGCTGGTCGGATTCCCAGATCCCGGGACCTCCCGCCTAAAGAGGATGCGGGCGTGTGCGAGAGAGTGCGATGAGATGCTGGAGAAAGGCCAGCCCGCCTGGACTTGCCTCGCGGGCTAGGGAAGCAGGCGCCAGTGCCCCAGCTCTTACCTGCGCTCCGACCAGGAAACAGCTTCTGAGAATCAACCATCCACAGACGTAGGGTAAAGCCCCCAGCCAGGCCATGTCCAGAATTGTCCAAGGAACCGGCAGTGTCTGTGTCCCAGACTCGCCTACTTGGCCGGTACTGAGCAAACTTGTGATGGGGAGGGAGGCACAGCTGAGCAGCTGGGGCGCGGGAGCCACCCACCACGATGCTCGGGTCTGGCCGCCTGCACCCCTGGGTCTGGGAACCTGGGTCCTGAGTGTCACAGCTCCGGGTGGTCCCGCCTTCCACTGTGCACAGCCACGAGGAGGCGTCGGAGGATACAGGCGCGTCCTTCGCCAGTCACTCAGTCCACAACCCGGGAGCCCCGAGGCCACGCGATTCCCAAGGCGGGGCTACAGCAGCGCTCTCACTGTGTCTGCTTTCCTGCACTGGGTTCTGAGTCCCCCCGCCATCTCAGGGCACGTTCTGAGTCCTAGGAGGGGTGACCCAAAACTTTCCTCCTTCCCAAATGCATGCTGACCATTCACCACCACAGAGCCAGGGATACAGGCTACCGGGGGCTGTAGGGTTGGTCTCTGCAGCAGTCCACTGAGCCCTCTGAAGTTCTTTGATTCATTTTCTCCTGATTACAATGCTACTCCCTGGGAGGGGAAGTAAGCAGGTATGTAAGGGGTGTGTGTGTGTGTGTGTGTGTGTGTGTGTGTGTGTGTGTGTGTGTGTGTGTGTGTGTGTGTGTGTGTGTCCCACGCAAATTACTAATGAAAATAGAATTTTGATGATAAAAGGTTTCAGTCCTGAAAAAGCTCACAGTCCCAAAAGAAACGTTCCGGTTACTGCTGATAGCGTTTTCTCTGTGTGGTTTTTTGAGTTGTTGGGTTTTGTCTTTTAGTAACCCATGAAGACATTCTGACCAACATCAGGACGGACTGGAGCAGTAAAATGCATGTTTCCTCCCTTCAGACTCAGAAGCACTGGCATGCCTGTCCTCGTACATGGAGTTTTGTGTAGATCGTCTAGGATTGTCTCCGGTCGTTTAAATGCAGCTCTTAGAAAGGTGTGTTCCAAACGGAGGCTTATTGCAAATACTCGAACACCACTAGCCTCTGGCTGAACACTTCTCCTGTACTCTCACTTGGTTTGATAGAAATTTTTATTCAAGCAAAATTTATTTCTTACAGTTCTGGGGGAGTCGATGGTCAAGGCAGCGGCAGAGTGGATTCTGACTGCAGGTTATTCTCACCATAACCTCACATGGCAGGAGCTGTGAGGACATCTCTCTGAGATTCCTCATCAGGACACTCTTATTCATGAGACCCTCTCAGTACTAGTACCAAGGCACCTCACAAAGCCCCGATTCCCGGTGTTAGACTGCAAGCATATGAATTTTGTGAAACATTAGTGTTGGGACCATTTATATTCTCCTGGGAAAGTTGAGTTTAAAATACAGACTCCTCTAAGAGAGATGCTCAGTAAATGTTGTAGTCGGACTTTCTTTGGACCAACAACTCCCAAATAATGACACAAAGAAAGCTTGGCCTTAGCTTAGGCTTCTTCCCAACTAGCTCTTAAAACTCTAACGCATTTACATTAATCTGCGTTCTGCCATGTGACCCTTTACCTCTCCTCAGTATAGCAGGTTCCACTTCCTCTGTGTCTGGCTGGCAAATGTTCTACCTCTAAGATTCTTCCCCTGACTTCCTCTCTCTACCTGGATGTCCTGCCTATCTTCTCCTGCCTAGCTATTGGCCATTCAGCTCTTTGTTAAACCAATCAGAAGTTGCCTTAGCAGAGAAATAGCTTCACAGTGAACAAAAATGATTATCCTACAAATTATATTTATTATGGTTCCCATTGCTGCTGCTGCTGCTGCTGCTTCTGCTGCTGCTGCTAACAATGATGGTGATGACTGTCATTGTGACACTTCAATAGGAAAAGGCTGTGAACAGAGTAGTCGCTATTTAGAATACTCTGTCTTTATATGACTTGTACAGCTTTATTCTCACCTTAACTTTTTAATATTTTGATCACTGCCAAAGGTTTTTCCTTTTTTTTTAAATGTATCTCAATCTAGCAAAGTTTCGTTTTGCAATGCTTATCTCCACATGCAAGGTAAGACTCTACCACTAAGCTAACTCATCATTTTGTCATTTCTTCTTTTGATTTCAGGCCAAGACATTGCATATTGGTTTTTGCATAAACTTGGAAACGTAGAACCTTTTCATCAAACATGATTTCTCATTCTTTTGTTCTGTTTGTAATTTTTAATTAGCATGTTTAAAGTATCAATTTAATGTCAAATTGACAGTTTCTCTAAGTACCCAGTGTCCCTGTAAAACCCCTAGTGTGCTACATTGGACACCAAAAATTTGTCAACATAAAAGGTAGTACTTCTGAAATAACAAAATAGTTTCTCATTGACCAAATACAAGTGGCACCCCCCCCAATTAAACTCAAGGAACTGGAAATGAAGTTCCCCAAAAGATATAGCCCTCTGTAAGAAACTTTATAAGTCATAAAAAAAAGTATGTCAGACTACAAAAGGGCAGAAAGTCCTTCAAAAGATACAATAATTGTCTTCTGTAAAGCAGGGGATATCCTGTAAGATTAAGGTGCCAACTTCTTTCAATCTCTAATGGCAATGGGAGCCAGAGGCCCATCAAGCATACTATACATTTAAGATTTTACCTTGTAGTCACAACAAATGCTAGTGCAGATACATAAGCCAATATACTCTTCTTAATATACAACATTTCCTCTCTTCATAAGTCAGAGTATTACTGGCAGCAAAATTCAAATAATCTGGAGAGTCTTAAGTATAAAAAAAGGTCAAATTACCCAACCAGTATAGCATCATCTGTTGAAGAATCTGTTTTTTGTATGTGTGCATGCATATTCATGTATCTGGGGATGATGATGATGATGATGATGTGTGTGTGTGTGTGTGTGTGTGTGTGTGTGTGTGTGTGTGTGTGATTTGCACTCCTCCTCTTTTCTCCCCAGAAAAGTGCAGGCCTCCCATGGATATCAATCAGCCATGGTATATCAAGTTGCAGTGAGTCTAGGCACCTCCTCTTCTCAAGGCTGATTGAGACACACCAGTAGGAGGGAAGGGTCCCAAGAGTAGGCAACAGAGTCAGAGACAGCTCCTGCTCCCACTGTTAAGAGTCCCATAAGAAGACCAAGGTGCAAAACTGCAACAATATGCAGAGGGCCTAGGTCAGTCCCATGCAGGCTCGCCAGTTGGTGGTTCAGTCTCTGTGAGCCTCTATGAGCACAGGATAGTTTATTCTGTGGGTTTTCTTGTGGTGCCTTTGGCCCCTCTGACTCCCACAATCCTTCCTCCTCCCCTTTCACAGGATTCTCCAATTTCTGCCGAGTGTTTGGCTGTGGGTTTCTGCATCTGCTTCCATCAGTTGCTGAGTGAAGCTTCTCTGATGACTATTGGGCTAGGCAGCAATCTATAAGTATAGCAGAATATCACCTCATTGACTTTTCTTTCCTGCCAGTCATGTTTGTTTCTATTCTAAGTCTCTGGGTTATCCAGCCTCAGAAAGGCTAAGATCAAAAACACAAGTGACAGCTCAAGCTGGAGAAGATGTGGAGCAAGGGCAACACTTGCTCAGCCACTTTGGAAATCAATATGGTGGTTTCTCAGAAAATTGGGAATTGACTTATCTCAAGACCCAGTTATACCATTCCTAGGCATGTACTCAAAAGACACTCCAGCATACGACAAGGACATTTGCTCAACTATGTTCACAGCAGCTGTATTCATAATAAGCAGAAACAGAAAATAGCTATCCATCAACCAAAGAATGGATTTTTAAAAAAATAATACATTTACATGATGGAGTATTGGGGTGGCTCACTTACAGTTCAGGGGTTCAGTCCATTATTATCATGGGGAACTGCAGGCAGACATTGTACTGGAACTGAGAATGCTACATCTTGCAGGCAACAGGAAGTCAACTCAAAGTCACACTGAGGGAAGATTGAGCAAAAGAGATGCCAAAGCCTGCCCTCACGGTGACATACTTCCTCCAATAAGGCCACACCTCCTAATAGCATCACTCCCTTTGAGTGCCATTTTCTTTCAAACTACCACACATAGCAATGGGGGATATGGAACCTGAGCTGGCCATCTCCTGTGACCAGGCAAATCTTCCCTCCAGGGGAAGTAACCAACCAATGAATGGTCCAGCTTGAGACCCATACCATGAGAGGCAGCCGGACCCCCTTGATTCTCCCAGACCTTTTTATCTGGGCTCTGGTCATGCTTACAAGGCAAGCACTCTGCCAGCTGAGCTGTCTTCTCAACCCAAGAATCTACCTCTTTAATGGGGAATATATTTTAAAAGGAGATGAAGGAGAAAAGTTTGATAACACCTCTAAAATCACAACTGCTGCTCCCTGTGAGGGATAAGAAATAAAGTGGGATTCAGAGCTGAGTGAACAGAGCCTCTCACCATTTACCCAGGGAGCAATCCCATTCATCAACCCCAGATGTCAAGAACTCTAGCAAAAAAAAAAAAAAAAAAAAAAAAAAAAAAAAAAAAAAAAACTGGCCAGTTCCTTCTTCTGTAATATCTGAGACTCGGTCCTGGAAGTTCTCTGCCTGAAGCTCTGGAAGAAGACAGCAACAAAGAACAAGGAGAATCGTGGGCGTTTATAGTGGGGAATTGGCCAGGGTGTATGTGTAAGAACGGGGCTCTGCAAGGGAAGGACCTCTGTCTAGAATCGATGCTGATGAGCATAGCTCACAGGCAAGTGACTTACTCTCTATTTAACCTGGAAAAGTTGCTATCTAAAATGGCTACTTATTTCACAGTGCTTATGTGACCACTGAGGTAATGGCCATGCCAACAAAACTTCCCTCAACTCTGTAGAATTATATAAATGACAGCATGGTTGGTGTCTGTGAGTACATGCACATTGGCTATCAAATTCAATTTATAATTAGAAATTCTCAAAGCCTATTACAGAGTACTCAGTAATTAACTTGTAGCTTTAGAAAACAATGAAAAGGAAGCCATAGCAAATCTTATTTTTTTTCCTCTATTGGGGATTAAAGGGAGTA